ACCTCCAGCCCAGCTCTGGATGGTGCGATACTGCCGGATTGCATCTGAAGTGGAAAAGAATGCACCAGCCAGGCGTTAACCTGAGGACTGCAGCTTCCACTTGACAAAGAAAATGCTTACTAGCATTCACTAGTAGTCAGGTGTGGCTTCCTGAACACTTACATCACTCTAAATGCAGCCAAAAGAGGCTGTTGCCTCCCCCTGCATAGCAATGCGTTCTTGCAACTTGTCGCTTGTCCTCTACTTGTCCTCACGTGATCTACTGACCTTAAAATTAACTCTTTTCCCAAAGATTAGCTCTCAGACTGAACATCTTACTCATTGTCCCAAGATGCCTCCATACGAAATCACCTGGAACAAAACAAGAATCTCTTTTCCAGGATAAAAAAAAAAAACTTTCCACATGTTTATTCAAGTCACATTCCTCATATAACAGTGAATCAAAAAGTCTGTAATTGATTTATCTTTTTTAAATCAAAGTCCAGTGTCCAGCTTGGCAGAAAAGAAAATTTAATTTCACTGAGAAAAAGCATCAGAACTGAATGTACTATGCTGCATTTGAAAACTGTAAGATATGATTTCAATATGATTCTAACCAAGCTCACAGTAAGCTCTTATCAGACAAAAAATGGCTGCATGGTAAAATAAAACAGAATTAAAAAAGCATACTAGAACAAGACTGATCAAAAATAAGCTCTGGAACACACATCGCCAGTGAACAATTGCTCCCATCTCCTTTGAATTGCCAGCTGTTTAGCACTTAGAACATTTTGCTAGTTCTAAAACTCACAAGAAGATGAATTCTTATTAACTGAAGAAACATTGTACTTGCAACTACGTCAGACACTAAGCATTCTGCTAAAAAATTAAACAAACAAAACCAAACCATAAAGCACCCCCCCCACACACACATTGGTCCCTACACAGTTAAGGTGATGACGGCTACGCATCAAGTATTTTTATGCTGCCCGTATTTCTATTATGCCCTAAAACCTTCTCCTGGAATGCAGGTGCTGGCAGCAGTGCGGTCTTTGGGGGTACAGCACATCTGCCTAGAGAGACACTTTCATCAGACACCAGAATTAACTTCTACCATCTTTTCAGGGACAGGCACCATTTACCTACATTGTCTGTACTTTCGAGCTCCAAAGGCACTCAAGCTGTCAAGCGATAGTACTACCTTTCCCGTATGTTTTTCCATCCTTCCATTTATTTAGGAATAAAATTGTACAATTTTGTTAAAATTAAACAAGTACTTCAAAATGCAGCAAAAACAACAACTGTTTTAGTCATTTAATTTAGTCTTTACCAGCAATAAGTTTGACCCCAAAGAAGGCTAGTACTTGGGACTTTAAATATGAAAGAAGACTTGGAAAACTGTTATGAGGAGGAAATAAAGAAAATAGAGGCTGCTTGCCTTGGAAAAGCAACGAATAAAGAACTGATGAGTTTGAGTACAAGAATAATCAAACAGTATTGATCGTCTAGCTCAGGAACATTTGCTCTTCCTATCACTTCACAGAGGAAGAATCAGGAAATTCATAACTAATACATAAATAAACTGAAAAGGGGATTGGATATTAAGAATACTAATATCATCATTAAGGCTAACGAAATTTTGGGGAGGATACTGAACCTCGCACTTCACAACATCAACCCACCTCTACCAAAGGGAATGACAGAAATCAGATTAGAGACCTTATAGAAGGAGGACAGATGATGTGCAATGGCTAAATGCTACAATTCTTGAACTACTGTTTGAAGGCTGTAACGCCAGTGACATCTGATGTACAAAAGCAAGCCAGCGGGCTGGGGAACACGGGGGTGACATGATGAAACAACTGTATGCAACTTGGTTTGTACCAAATTAGGGTGCAGCGTAGCAGTATATTAAGAATGAACCATCTTTCATTATAGTTGCTTCTGCTGACTTTTCTTCTTTCACCCAGTATTATACACCATTCCAGCTGAGAAAGTAGAAAGGTATAAAATCTAGAATGGTATAAGCGCTACAAGGATAATTTAAAATTAAGTACTCATAAAATAACAGCACTCAAGAACACTGCAACTGTGTATTGTGACTCATCATAACATAGCTACCCAAGAAACTCGACAGGAAGGGGACATGATTTTTGAGGAGGAGGAGTTACTCTTAATCCATAAACCAATTTAACGAAATCAGGTGGGGTAGGCAGGTGAACCCACATCATTATCAGTAAAGCTTGGCAGTAACAAAAAGATTGAGAGAATGATAAAAAAAAGAGAGAGAAGCCAGGTTTTATGTTCAGCTAAGTTGATATCAATTTAAGAGTATGAAAATATAAAATTGGTATTTGACGACTGCTTTTGGTCCTCTTCCAGAACTACAAGGCCTGTAATTCACACTTGGGGAACTTCTTACTTTTCATACCTTTTTGCCTTTGAGATGGGAATAAATAGATTGGGAACAGGCCAAACTTTTCTTCTTAAAAACATAACTTTTAACAAGGACTAGGGTATGCTGTTTCTCTTTTAAAAATAAAGTCTTCTACGACAACATGGGCTTTCTTCAGCTTTTCTTTTCTGAATGTAGCCTGAAAGGAAATATTCAGATGCATTCCACAGCTTGATTTTCAGTTAATTTAAAATCTTCCCTCCACTCCTGCAAGAACATCATCTCCATTCAACTCCTATGTTGACAAGATTGACTTCAAAACTAGAAATCTGGAAGCAATTTCTCTATGAGGCTTCCCGCTAAGCCCTGAAATTTGAACTTAAGCACAGAAAAAACCCGAAGTCATCTGCATATGTGGCTTTATTAGGATGGATCTTTGGTTCAAACTGCTAAACGATTGTTATAATTTGGCTAAGGAAATACAGCATCACCCATCAATAAGAAACACCACAAATCCCCAATCCATTGTTTTGATAATAAATAACAGAAATCCACAACGAGGTTAAGTAAGATCTAACCCTGCTGTCTGAACATGCCAAGAACTTAATTTTAAAAATTGAGAGACTAAAAGCACCAAGTCCCATAACTACAGGCATTATTTATATCCCAGCTATAGTCTCCCCTACAGCCCAGGCACCCCAGAACAATAATGCTGCAGGAATATTCTTATTCCTTCATAAGACTTCTACTATCAGATAGCCAAAACAATCCTTTAAATCTAGTCAGTGACAGTTAACTCCAGCAATAAAGGGGACTGTCGTCCTAGAAATCTGTAGAGAATAGAAGGACTTGAACTCAACAGAAAATAGTTCAAGAAGAGGAACGATGCATACAGTACTGGATGCAAAGAAACTTTTAAAAGCCAGAAATAAAAATTTGAACATACTTTGCATATTCCAGAAATACTTTTACTATAGTTCCATACTACCATAAACCAGTGCAAACCATCAATTGTGCAGAAAGCAGCAGCCCACCTTCTTGCCCCCTCTGGGTGCTCATTCCAGTATCTGCTCTACCCATCACGTGTACCACGACAAACATTCATGCAGCCACATTGTAGACTGAATCAAATTAAAACTACGGTTTTCTTTTTCTGTGTGTCTCAACACAAAAAATAGATTTAGTGGAACTAAAAGCAAATATGAAAACATTTATATAAATATGACGGTGCATTATGGATGTATTTGACATTTAAAAAGACCAATTCAACACAAAATGTTTTGCTTAACTCAAACCTTGGACACTGAATTTGTTTTTTATCCACAAGAGTGAAATGGTCTTTACCTTTTATCACAGTGTCGCTACCTGCTGGAGTTCCATTTTCTTGCGGTGCTACAAGCGTTTTCAGAATTACTTGTGTGGCCCCAAGTCTCGGCAGGGTGACATGTTTAAGAAATGGCAAATTGTTTTTCTTGGCAAATGCCTGGCTTGTTTCTCTTCTTTTCCTAAGGAAGCCACCCTCTGGAAATAAAACAATCCATTTCCGATTACGGCTCCTGTAATATTTTTCTAGATGCTCCTTGAGTAACACAAGCTGCTGGTCACGGTGTGCTCTTCCCTATAAGGATAAAACATTACCTAAATAAAATGAATGCTTAAAAGAGGTACCATTAAGACAGAAAATTACTACATTTCTATGATTTCTCCCTCTCTTCAGAGATACAAATAAGCCTCTATGACAAAACAAAAGGATGTTCCCAGAGTACCCACTGGTGGCTGAGTTAATGCCACTTTACAAAAGGCCGGGGGAAAAAACCCAACAACCTTGAAATTAAGGATGAAGCTTTCGATTTGATGACTTCTCTGCAAAAGCGACATCCAGATCGTAAACAGGAACTCCACGTAACAGGAGAAGGTATTTACACAATTCCCTAGTTGTTGCTGGGTCCCAAGTTGAATTTGCTAAACCAAGTTCTGCAAAGACAATCTAGGGGTCAAGCTATGATTTGGAGGTCCATGTATCATCAGTAATTTCTGCAAGCCAAACAGTATCTTTGCTTACGTATCTTCTACGCACCTCTCCCTGCATCCTGTATTAGCAGAGGTGCCAGAAGACACAGCCGGACCTCAAGACCAGGCTTGAGTTCGATTACCACAGCAGAACCACAGAATTCTCCCAGACCTGTGGTCCTTGAATGCTAGTCTCAACTGAAATCAGCACACTGATGGAAACAGTTATTGTTTGGGCAGGGGGGGAGCGGAGGGAATAAATGTACTGGGCTGTGATGGTTGGAGGTTTTCTTCCTCTAGGGGAAACTGTTGAGTAGGATCTGATTTTATCTGTGTAAACTTAAAGAAAGCCTACAACAATAAAAATGAGATGCCCTAGCTAAGAAGATACTGTATGACTCCAGCTTCTAGTTTGATAATTAGCTGTATATAGGATATAGCCAGGTGATAATTAAACCTGAAGGACCAAGAGGAGGAGAAAAACAACCACCACCAACCCTCTTGGGTTGTATTAGTACAACTTTTTCACTTAAGACAGTAAGATTTGTCCTTAATTACTGCAGAAATTTCTTCAACAACAATCTCTTCTCTTCCCACTTCCACACACAGCAAAAGCAAGCTGCCCAAATTTTCACAGGAATTAATTCACATCAACTGTCATTTTTAAGTGCTCTAAAGCGACTTTGCCAAATCACTCAAAAGACACAGGAGTCCAAAATTTAAGCTTCCCTCAGCAGAGGTGATTTTAATTCTCTGAAATGGAAACAAAACTACATAAACGATATAAAAGTTCCTCAGTTAAAACAGTCCTTTCCCACCAGATCACAGGACTCCAGGATAGCACAATAGTTAAAAAAACCAGCAGTGAACAATAAACTTCTCACATGTTAGATATTAGAACTCTCCAAAACCTAAACAAACTTAACCAATATGACTGGTGGATAAACTGCCATTTCGCAAACACCATGAGGTTTAAGGTGCTGCTGTGATACAGAAAAATCTACTGGACTAATGGGAAAGAGAGCAGTGTTTGAAAGCAGCTGTGACTAGTAGAATACTGAAGAGTCCTGGAGATAAAACGCAATTAACATAATGTCTCTCCAGAAAGAAGAGAAAGTAAGCCATAGAGAAGCAGCTCCTTAATACAACCAATCCTTGAAGGCCATGGCTAGTTGATCACCATCACAGGGAACAGGCTCAGCCCTCTTTCCTTTAGAGGAAAGAAAACAGGTAGCAGCAGACTGCTGGCAGATTCTTTAGGATGCCGTGTACTTTGCATGACCAATATGGCAAGTTACTGGCAGTCTGTTTCCAGTAAGCTTCTCAATGGGAGAAAACACTAGTCAACTTCTAGTAGACTTCAGAAGCATTCCTGAAATTGCCATTGGTGCTGCTCATGAAAATAAGGATAGTGTACATTTTTAACAAATAGGATGTACTGTATCATGATCAAATTACATTACTTTGCAGGGAAAAAAATGAAGCATTTGCTCATCCAAATATTACTGCGGCCTTTCTATCGTTAGGCAAAGGATCATTACTCACTCACCTTAAGTGTTTTTGCTACATCCAAAGACTAACAGACAAGAAAAATTTTATTTTCAACATTTATAATTAGACTCACGATGTCATCGTTATTTGTGATGCTGCATATCTCAGCCACTTCACAAAAATGAGGAAAACCCTTAAGTTTTTGCAGCTCAGTAATTGTTTGGTTTTGTAACTGGAATTGCAAGGCCACAGTCAGAAATTACAGTTAACAAGCTGACAGCCATGTGTACCTCAAAATGCGTATCTTGTGAATTTTAACTACTGAAATAGATTTATATTTCATGAAGTGTCAAACCCTGTTCCTTTCCATACTCTCACAGTACACAGTTGTGTATCTCTAGAGACCTTTATTTTACTATCAAATTTTGCCTGAGGTTTTCTAACCACCCCTCTAGTCTTAGTGAGAAACCTCACTTCAGCTGTGTAGAGCTGTGATTAAGTATTTCTTCATTTTGTTCTGAGTAAATTAGCTTCTCCTGCTCTGTAAAGTGAAAATTCATTAATTCTCTCTAGCTGCCCATGCATTTTCAGTCCAGATAAATAAAAATAAGGAGAGGAAAGAAACGCGTATTCTGGATGTCACAGTTCACATAACTGGCAGTAGGTTCACATTTATCATTGTACTTCTGAGTTTCTATTGTTAGACTGCAGTTTGATCAACACCTACTGAACAACAAAAAAACCCCCAAATTGTAAGAAATAATCTGAAGTTTTCAATCCTGAACATTTGAGATGCTGGGCTCAACACACATTCTTTCCTGATGCTCAAATAATAATTAACCTTCAAGAATCAATTAATTACTATTTATGCAGGTCCATCACCACCTTAAACTGGTCTGCTACCATGTCACCATTAAAAGGGATGGTCCTGCCTTTCCTTATCTGAAACTTTGACAGTCAGAACAGTGACCTAACCAGACTCACTGCACAGCTTCAAGGTCACTAAGGAAAGAAGAGAGGCGCCAACAATGGGCAGTCAGAAGTGGAGAGAGAAAAAGGACTTCCCATGTACTTCGCTTGTACACCTCTCTCATAAAAGGCTCCCATCATAACTGGGTTCTGTAAACATTCACGTCAAGGCAAATAATAAAATAAGCTTGGAAAAAAGCTGTTTCAGAAAAAAGCTCTACCCAAATACACACACTACAGTGTCATTATTTCATCCGGCAAACCATCCAGGAGGTAATAAGTCCCATTTACACCACAATGTTCCAAATATAGCATAAATCAAAGCACTACTACATGTTTGCATTTACCTGTCTTATAAAGAAGTCACCATGGATTAGAGACACAATGCCAAAGTTTGTATACTTAAAAATATGATCCATCAGCCACATCATCTGACGGACAACCTGAAAAGTTAAAAAAAAAAAAAAGTTTAGTAAATATCAAGTGCAGAGAATTACGTATATACTGGTCACATTCTTGTCACCCTCACACAGCAATTAAACTAGCATATATATGGAGTAAAGTCCTTTATGCCCAAAGCATAAAGCAGGACAGGTGCTACACTTCTTCCTCAAGAGCAGGACTAAATAGCTGCTCTAAAATAGATTAAATAGTTCTACACTATTAGCCATACACTAGAGTTATTTCTACTCTGTCTTTTGCCAGGTGCAAACTAAAACCATTTTCAGTGTTTGTTAAAGTACACAAAACAATACAGATCTGTATTTGAAATCTCCAATTGTTTCATGTCTACCACAAAAACACGTTTCCTTATATTTTTTTGGCAATTTTGGGGAGGAGATCACGTTGTTCTCATGCTTCTGATGTGCTCCATACATGCTCACTCTATCTTTGAACAGCAGCATTCACCGAGACCTATGGACAGCCCACATGCCATTACCATTTTCTCTCATGGCAGAGCAGCCACATGCATCCCTAAGAATTTCATATGTCATGCTCCTTGTCCCAGCCAAGAAGCAGAGCAAGAAGGCAAAAATAGAGGTTGAATCATTAGACTCACTTTGACCATCACTTCTTACAGGACAGTGATTTTTTAAATTAAAAAAAAAATTAAAAAAAAAATTGAGGTGCTTCCTATTCAGAGGCCCACTTTAATTTCACCCTACACAGATTTCACAAGAAAGCAACCTGAACAGACTGACTTTCATCTTTCAAGCACCTCTAACTTAACAATGAAACCTGGGAATACAGGTCTTAAAACTTGCACTCAAACAGCTGCAAGCTCTACTTCTTTCTCTCCACTGCACCCTTCCTGGCAGTGCTTTCTGCTTTAAATGTGAAAAAATAGCCACATTTATCAGTCCTAATCCAGTCAGAAAGCAGTAATAGCAGCATCTGAACCTAATTCTCTTTGTTAAACACATAATCTTTAATGTTTGAGACACCTCAGCCAACTCACTAAGTTTAACACTTACTTTCACAAATTGGAACGATTTCTTGAACTATATTAAACGAAGTATAATTAGGTCACTTCTGATTCAGCTGAAACCTTGCTCTGTGTGGCTTGCCTTACCGTAACATGTATTAGTCAAACAATACCAGTCCAGTCCTGCCATTAAAGTTATAACTTTTAGCTAAGTTCCACTTCCCTAATAAGAGATCACGCTTCCCTTATTCACATAAGTGAATCTGAAAGAGAAGAAACATCTTACAACATGTATTTTAGCTTACTGCTTAGTGAGATTAAATTTGCTTGAAACGGATAGGCTATGCTACCATTTGTATATAAGAATTTATAAAATACTAGAAAAAAAATACCAAACACACATCACAGTTCCTGACATGGCCCTTAGAAAAAACTGTCAAGCTGCAAGAACGTTTCAGTATTCTACCTCACTACACAGAAAAACATAGACCTTTAAATAGAACACTTTAAAAAGAACACTTCTGATGCCTTAAATCAAGATTTTTTAAAAAGCAGCATCGAATGGTAAGTACTTGCAGATTACTTCTGGTTTCACAGTCTGCGTTGGCTGGCAAAAGCAAGCAAAAGACATTTTGGACTGCCACAGGAGGAGAGCCTTCCTAGTGCTGCCACCGCACCATCACCACTGAGAGCCCGCCTTTGGTCAGCTGTCTTAGTTCTTCATAAGCCCCTTTGTGTGAAATGGAGGTAAGTCTTTCACCTTCACAAAATACTTTGAGAGCTATAAAGTGTGGCCTGAGTGGTAGCATGTTTAGGAATTAGTGCAGCTTAACCATCCTAAACAAAAAAAAACCACCACCACCACCACCACCACAAAAAAATTCTTGGGAATTACTACCTTGTTACTAACAGACGAATATCAAGGTTGTGAAGGACTCCATGTCAAGTTTAAACTGCATTTAAAGAAAACTGCCTATTTTAAATAGTTGCCTATTGTATAATGATTTCTTTTGGAGAGGTGGGTTTGGTCTTTTTTCCTCCAGTGGTTTCACAGTCAAAGTAAAGACAATTCTCTTCTGTTGAGAAATATGAAGCATGCTATTTAAAAACACCTGATTCAGCAAGTTCTATCAAGGATAAACCATCCTGATCTTTCTCATTATTTTTAGCCTTGTACTACTCATGCTATATTTTAAGCATGTGTTGAAGCTCGTACTTTTTTTTATTTCTTTATTAGCTAAAAACATTAAAGTCATACTAGGCTCTGGACATGTTTATTCCAAGAGCAATGACTGCAATTATTTAAGGGGAAAAAAAAGAGTGATTTTAAGGATGTTTTGCTTTTCAGAAAACCCACAAGCCTAACAGTTTCTGTGGTGAATATTATTTGCCCTCTCAATGCCTTTCTCCATTTTTAACATCTTCTACATTCACTGAAACTTACCCTGTTTGACTGAAACTTTTTAGCTATGGAGTCAAACAGGCTAAATATGGCTTAGATTCGTGTATACACTAACACACATACATGAGTCAATGAACCTCTATGATATTTAAAAAGCCTGGGACATCAATAGCCAAGATTATATGCAACACATATCCACAGGACTATACCCTCACAGTCACATCTTTATCACAAGATTGTCCTATGGATAATTTTGATGAAGGGAATTAAAGAGTGTTTATTCTGCCATACCACTCATTGTGGTAGAGTACAGAATACCATATATACCTAAATTCCTCAATTCCAAAAGAAATTAAACAATTAAAAGTACTTTTAAAACAGTCTTCTCTAGGCTACAGTAGAAAGAAAGAAATCAGTCTCTGCTCAATCTTGAGTGGCATTTTCAGACTTTCTTTTTTGAGTTTGGTTTGTTTGAGGTTTTGGGGTTTGTTTGTTTTTTGTTTTTTTTGTTTTGTTTTGAATCATCTCTGCTGTCCTAAGTAAGCTCTGGGAAAATGTCTAAAAAAAATGTTAAATCACTGGTAGAGATACAGTGTATACACAATCTATACTAATATACATTAAGAAAAGCAGTGCCAGTTACAAGTTGTGCAGATGCAACAAAAAGCAGTTGTTTTCCTTGTTTCTTCACCATATGGTCACAAGAAAGAAGACAACACTAAGACACACACAGTTGATGCATTTTTTCAGCTTGCCTGGTATGTCTCCCATCCTTTGTAGCCTAATCATACATATCTCCTTCCTCCTGATTTGCACATAAATTTAATTTCTTGTTGAAATCCCATACTCTAGTTTCCAGCACTACACTCCCTAGACATGAATTTTCTGAGCAGCAATGCGTGAAACAATTGAAATTAGTTGCAATTCTCACCAAGAAACGCTTAAGAGTTTGTGAAATAAGATCTCAAGCAATTTTGACCTTAGCTAGCTAGCTTAGCTTAGACATGCCTTCATAAGGAAGTCACTTTCAGTTTCTGAACTCCTACCAAAATCCCATACACAACTTGCTTCTAACTTTGAGAAAAATTCCATGCTGGAATACAGTCATAACCAAGAAGATAGACCTGTGCTGGTCTGAGCAGAGTTGGCATGAGTTGCATAAGGTGAGAGGAAAAAGTCAAGTACATGATTACCTGCAAGATCTGCTTCCCTCTGTGTTAACCTAGACTGGATGCACACTGACTCAAGCTCATATCTGACCTTCTTCAAAGGCAACATTTATGGTCTAGAACCTGCACCAAGCTACTGGCTGTCACATTAAACCAAATCTAAATAATAAGCCTCCTATGCAGAGCTTGAAATTATTTGGTGGATTAACACACAAAAGTCAGTCATCAGTAGCACATGCAAATGCAAGCACACCGAAGGTAACAGATCCCATCCACAGAAGTTATCCCGCTCCCCCGTTGTAGCCTACCGTGCCTTTATCCTGAAGGCACATCATCAGAGTGCAGACGTCACCTGTTGCTTGATGGTTCACCAGCACCATGGCTTCATCTTCTGATATTGCTTTAACATCATCACCCCATTCCACTACTATTAAAAAAAATAAATAAATGCAAAGGTAAATTTTACAATGACCACATGGAAATTTTAGTATTAACAGAACAAAAAACCCAGAGACACCACACCCAGCCAATTATAATAAAGAAACCTACATGCTACATGTCAATTCAAATTGGCACATAGCATAAGATGGGAATATTAGCAAGACCATTTTTCCAAGCAGAGGGTATCCAGATTAGTTTTAAATTGCATGCGGAGAATAAGAACAAAACAAAAATACTCTACTAGAACATATGCACAGAGATTGATCTTTTTGTGTCATTACACCATTCTGTACTTAGGGTCTCAAAATCACCTAAGCTTTTGACCCAACTTTCAAATTCAACTGTCTCACCTCATTAGATTAAAAAAAATAAAATTGTAAAAAATGTTTGGGTTTTGTGCTTTGTGGTTTTTTGTTTGTTTGTTTTAAACTTAGCAAGTTTGTTTTAATTTCTACACTTACTATTATTACACTACTCTGGTAAAAGCAAAACAAAAAACCTGTAGTTGGATCATTAGATTTAAAACCGCTACATTCAACAAACTCAGCAATTCAAATCTAAACAAGTTAGCTATAGGCAAGAAAGTGGGTTCAGAAAATGCTGCTCAGATGACAGAAACCATTAGTCACTATTTTGTGACCAGAAACCAGATACTCCAGTGGCAAGAATGACGTCAGGAGGAAGCTGCAGCTGTTGATCATCCAACATTTACACTGACTAGCAAAAATATGCTGAGGTAAGGAAAAGGAGTTAAAATTGCTAGTTCCATCATCACAAAGTTAACTAAATAGAGAAAGAGAAGACTGCCTCTCAAAGAAGAGCAGAAGATGGAAAACTAGAAGAAGTCTGTCATAAACTAAAGACCAGAATACGTCTAATGCTGTTTTGGGGGCAAAGAGACAAGCGAGTGGAGTCTGGCCCTCTTCAGCAGAAGGGATGGTTACTGCAATGGAAGGTAAAGGGAACGGATGGGCAGGCAGAGTAGCTCCGTGAAGTTCAAAAGGAAAAGTAAGATGCATTGCCCACGTCTGTAGGATATATCATTATTTTCTGTGTTTGTTCAGTATCTTAAGTCATTCTTATTGGCTACTATTTTAATTTCTGACATCAAAGGAAGTATTTCACCTCCAGCACTGAGCCTTTAGTACTGTTATTAACAGGTCTCCAGGCTCTCTCATCACAGGACAATTAATTACTTCACTACTATCTGTCTTCTAAGCAGTGGTTTAACTGATGCAAAAGCAATAGGCTACACACTGAAGACAAGAAGCAATAATCCGTGCATCGCTTCCCTGACCTTGCAGAAATCCAATTAACATCATCACACCTTTGAAAACTGCCACTTCTATTACTTTCTAACGACTCCCAAATTAGTACTGAATTGAGCCTTGAACACAAATTAAAAAAAAAAAAAATGCTGTATTTGGTCACAAGTAGATAGAATCAGACTAGAGATATGAAGGTGGGAAGGACTATTCATTCCATAATGTTCAACCTCCTTTCCTTTCCCCTGGCAAGCTAAGCACAGATCCTTTCTATTTCTCTCAATGTGAACTTGGAAGATCCCCTTTATCCCTCTCCTCAATTACATGCAAATTCTCTCCAATGTCCTCTCTAACTCCATGGAAGTTGGAAAATGCCTGGATGTGGCAGTCATAGTTGACTGTGACCTTCGTTATCAAGTATTTCACGTATCTACCTATGGCAGTACCCCACAAGGCAAGAAACTGAAACGAGAATTGTTTTAAAGGGAAATCAATCAACCATGTGCTGATTTTGAAATTATTACTTCAGTGTCTTTATTAAGCAGCCAACATACAATAATCTTACTGAACTGTGGCTTTCAAAAAGTAGTAAAAACTAACTACGAAATACATTAGGCATCTGCAAAATAAGTTAATTATCCCCAAATAAAATTATTTTATTTCTAGATCACTCGGAGAAAAAAAATGGATTACTGTACTATAGATAGTTCCCCTGGAACGTCTCAATTTACACTACTAATCACTTCTACTGTAGAGCAGTTTAAAAAGAAACTATTTTTAATCTTCAAAAGTGTTTCACAGATCTAACCTTCTGAAGGACTGAAATAAAGTTAATGACTGAAAAATGCAAGCCATGAGAAGTAGCATGCAACTGAAAACAACTAAAAAGGAGAACTTATGAAGCTTAATTTTCTAGAAAAAAGTACATTTTTAGCATACTAGGTGAAGGCTAATGTCTGACTTTGAAGTTTTCAAAGTTTTCTTTCAGCCAAAGAAAAACAGGAAAAAAACCTGCTGCTGTTACCTAGAGTCTTTTACCTACTCTTGTTAAATACAATAGAGGGTAAAAACACACAGCCAGCTTACAAGACACTAACAAGTTTTGTCCGAGAAGTAGTAAAAAGGTGGGCTCTGTTATCCCACTCCAAATGCAAAGGGGAAAAAAAAAAGAAGTTTGATATAATCCTTTAATTGATTTACTCAATTCATTTTATCTATCAGCTGGCCAGGCTAATAGATCAACTTCTGTGGCTCAGCTGACAGGTAGTAAGTTATTAAATCACAGTGATTCAGCTGGACATCCTTTAGTTTCTTTTCCCTCTGTCATTTCTCCTCAGGCGATCAGGCTGTCTCTTGTGCTTAATAACGCTTCATGGTCAATTGATTGACCTGATTATCAAGGAGAAAAGAATCAGTTTGTGCAAGTCCTTCACAGAGCATTTCTGGACAGGAAGCAGAACAGCAAGCCACAAAAAGTGTGCAGAAAAACCACTGCCATTACTGCGTATTTTTGAAGAAGAAAAAACCCCCCTCAAATATCTAGAATTTTAAGTTCACAGTGTCCCTTTAAACTCAGCGAGGGGAATAAATGCTTGTCTTCAATTTTCTCACCACATTGAAATTTTCAAAAGGAGCACCTTCTGCTTTAACAAATACGTGTGCTATTGCATGACTCCACTGCAGTTGGAAACATTCAAACCAAAACCCCAGCTGCATGGCAGCAGACCCAGGAACACTGCTTTGCTCCACTGTAACAGGACAAAAAAAACAGTTCAAAGACAAATATTTGTCACTCGAGCCTGAAAACCAGCAAACATTCCTCCATGGCTTCCTTCCATTGCCAGGGCACATTTCATAAGGATACTGGTTCCGTGTCTACAGCCTCGCAACAGTTAGATTCCTGCAAATGCAGTCTGACGTAGTGAAATAGCATAAAGGAAGGAAAGAGCAGGAAATCAGTTTAACGTGGTAATTTTAAATGATGGTAAACTTGGTACCAAGAAAATCTGGTAATCCTGATTAGCAATGACTTCTTTTACCCACAAGATTGAGACAGAAGTGGCTTAGCTGTAAGAGATACTTCATTTGTGACTCAGTGTTGTAAGCAAAAGGCTTCTGCAGGAAAGGATGAAGACAAGTTTACTTGCAATTTCATGCACTGTAAGACAGAAAGATTTATCCTTCTCTTATAATGAGAAGTCCAAGATACACAAAATTCTCCAAAACATCAAGGAAATATTTCATATAACGAGTTGCCAACTGAGGTTTTTACAAGCTAACCCTTGCAGAGCTTAGAGAAGAAAAGCAATGAAGAAATTTTTTCCACGTTTTTACTGAACTATTACGCACCTAAATGTAGCTATTGAGAGTTCTCAGAACACTTGGCTGCTTTGTAATTCTGCCCTTAACATAACTGTGTGCATATAAGCAATGCTACGAATCAACATTCAAGCACTTTAATTGCGGTATGTCATTAGGCTGGGCAAATGACTACTCAGCTAACAATTCAGTAGATTTATTTTATACTTTTGAATATACCTGGCAAGAACAGCAGTTGAGTAGTCTGCGCAACTGCCTAGCAATTAATATGAACTACTTCATACATACTGCATTTTAGAACTTCAAAAATGTTCTGAAATTTTTGACCATCTCTTCTTTGTTATACTTAATAGTTTCACTACAGTGAAACTGTGTGTTGTAAGAATCAGCATAAATTTTATTGGCATCTTTACAAGTTAAGTTCTAATGAATACCTGGGGTTATTATTTCAAAATGTATAGGGTTTTAAACTTCTTAATTCTCCACTGAATTGGAAAGAAAAAAAAAGTCTCCTGCCAGAAATTTCAACAGCCATTAGGAAATGGGCAGTGAGGCAACATACTAGCATTGTCCAAATCTAAAAGCTACCATATTAATCCCATAAATAAAAAACATGAGAAGACTGTTGCTTTATGGCAAGGTCAGTGAAGTTCTGTAAGTATTCTCATCACAATTATTAAAAACCCCAAACACATAAAACAGCTTGATAAATCACCTGAAAGTTATGATATGTGTAAACGTATAATTGATTTGGATATCCACTTTATTTGCCATTTAGGTTTGAGTGTACACACAGTACTCACAACTAGAAATTGGAGAAGTTAAAAACTTCTACTCCAGAACTTCCCACCCCTTAGTTTACTTTTCTTCTAATCACTTGCATCCATGAGGCAAGACTTGAAGAAAACCTCTTCCAAGAAGTTGCAGGTTGGCAACATTTAGAACTGAACACTACCACCTTTTGCCAATTGCTTGGAAATCTGCAGTAACAAAGGAACAGCATTATTAATGGCAAGCCTCTTTAAAAGCCACCCTGCTTTCTAAACCAAGGAATGTTACTTTTATGTATTCAATAGTGACTGTAACTCCTGACAACCAGGCTCCTATGTTTTAAACATTCCTCCTCATACTCAAGCATTTGTGTCTGGCAAGCTGCAACCCTGCTTTACTGTTATTCACAAATGGCTTGTCAAAGCATGTTTCACCTAGAGTAGCTATGTACAGTTGTTACTCATTTGTCTCTCCTTTGTAGATGGGATTCTTTGACAGTTGGCATTAAGAAATCCCAGAAGTGATGCCAGAGGTTAAATATTACTTAGCATGCCTAGACCACATTAAAAAAAAAAAAAAAGGATAAAGATGTACTAAATGTGTTTTTTTCTCCATACCAAGAAGATTAA